TTTAACTTAAAGACAGATTTGGGAAGGGAACTCGTTTGTTCGTAATCCGGGGTCTGCCTGTACTACCTCCTATCTCAAGGACGTTTCTCCCTCCGCCTTGAATCTAATTGCTTAGAAATTATGACTGCAGATTGACTAAGAGATGGAAAGATAGAGTAGCAAAGAATATGTAGTTCCAGTTATCTGCTGAATTTTTGTTGTTCTTAGTAATACTCCACAGTATGATAAAGATCACTGCACATCTGTTGGGCTTAGGATTGGAAAAACCTTGGGCTATGCATCAAGGGTGACTTTTAGTTTGCTGGCTTGAGCATTAAATGAGCTGCGAATGCTGGAAGGGGCGGGGTTAGAGGTGTTTGAGTTGTTTAGAAATACTGTGTTGAATATGCTTGTGAAGAATCCAAAGAAAGGTGTCGGTTGGATACGCAAGTCCAAAGCTAAGGGAAGGCCTGGGCTGTAGCTAAAATCATATTTAGATAACCGCACTACCCGTCAGTTTGCTAGATTTAATAGATTGGAGGGGAAAAAAGAAACAAAAAACATTTGGAGTATAATTGGTACTACTGAATCTCTCCATCTGTGCATTGTGGGATTTCAAACAAAGTAGACTTATAGTGGAAAAGAACCAGAGATTTAGACTAAATAGATCTGTTGTAAGGGAGCCATAGTGATCCTATTTAAATATTTTCCACACTAAATAAGGCATGTAGTACTGTTATGTACAGCCTTGATTTTTTTTAAATAAATGAATTTGCATCCATGATATTTTTTTCCCCTCTAATTCACCACAGAGCTTCACGTAATAGCCCGGGTGAAGACTTTAAGAAAACAATCCATTGGAGCCCAGATTTGAATTAAACTTCCTCAAACTATAATGATTTCTTTATTAATTTGAGTTTGTTTTATAAGCAAGGAATGCTTTTTTTAAGTTTGTTGTTGTTAGGGGCCGTCGAGTTGGTTCCCCTCATAGCAACTGTGTGTACAACAGAACGAAACACTGCCCGGTCCTGTGCCATCCTCACAGTCATTGTTAGCTTGAGCCCATTGTTGCAGCCACTGTGTCAGTCCATCTCCTTGAGGGTCTTCCTCTCTTTGCTGACCTTTTACTTTACCAAGCATGATGTCCTTCTCCAGGGACTGGTCCCTCCTGATAACATGCCCAAAGTATGTGAGAGGAAGTTCAGGAAAGCTAATTAACAAAAAGCTGGAGAGTGATAATGAGGCTGAATTTCCAGCATGATTATAACATGGTTCATGTGGTAAATGTTTCTTGCACACCTACTATGGGCCAGACATTGAGCTTACTTAACGACGTTATCTCTAGTTCCAATAGACACATTAAGCCCCTGGCATCGTGGAGTTTACATTATAGTGGGGAAAATAGACAAAAAACGGACAGACAGGTAACAAAACCATGACCGATTACAATAAACGTTAGAAGAAATACATGTGGGGCTGAGAACCTGGATCAGAGAGAAGTTCCTGCTTTGGCCCAAGTGGTCAGAGGAAGTATCGCAGACAGAGAAGGTGGCGTGCAGCGTCCTGGAGGCAACACAGAACTCTGCTGTGTTTTGGGATTTAGAAATCTTGTGAATAGGGGGGAGAATGGCATGAGATGAAGCTGAGTATGAGGTAGACGACAGATCATGCAAGGTCTGATGGGCCAACGATGCTATTATAGGAGTTGGGTGCTGTCTTAGGCTGGGTTCTCTAGAGAAGCAAAACCAGTGAAGCATCGATATATACATATTTATGTAGAGAGAGGGGGATTTATATCAAGGAAATGGCTCGTGTGTTTGTAGAGGTTAGAAAGTCCCAAGTCAGTGGGTCAGGCTGGAGGCTTCTCCTGACTCACATAGCTGCAGGGGCTGGCGAGCCAAAGATTGGCAGGTAAGATGGCAACCCTTTGGCTCACAGGCTGCAGAGGCTGACGAATCCCAAGACTGGCAGGTAAGCTGCTAGCTCAAGTCCAAAGAACTGGAGGTCAGATGAACAGGAGCCAGCTGCAGGATCCAGAGTGAGCAAAAGCCTGTGAGCCTTGCCAGAAAGTCCACCTGTATTGACTGCAGGCCACACCCCCAAGGATACTCCATTTCAACTGATGGGCTACTCACAGCAGATCCCATCATGGAGGTGATCACATTATTTCAGATCTCATCAAAGAGATACACATCATTAAATGACTGCCAGACTACATCATAACGGCCAAACCACTGAGAATCATGGCCCAGCCAAGCTGACACACAAGCTTTACCATCACAGATGCTATTCTAAATGCAATGGGCACTAAAGGTTTTACCCAGGGAACTAACCTGAGCTGATTCCGTTTTTCAGACCATTCTTGCCCTGATGAGAATGGAGCGCTAGAGGCCAGTGAGGAGGCTGTTGTACGAGTCTAGGCAAGAGACGCTGGTGACTGGGCTGAGGAGTTTGCAGGGAGGATGGAGAAGACAAGACGATTTTGAGAAATCAGCAGGACTTGGGGGAGGCAGGATGATGGGGAGACGGAGTCATCAAGGATGATGTCTGGTTTTCCGGCTTGAGCATTAAATGAGATGGAGATGTCGGAAGGGGCAGGGATAGACGTGTTTGAGTTGTTCAGAAATCACTGGGTTGAATATGCTTGTGAAGAATCCAGAGAGAGGTGTCAGTGGAATATGCAAGTCCAGAGCTGAGGAAAGGTCTGGGCTGTAGCTAAAATTGTATTTGAGATAACCACGTGGCCTGTCAGTACGTTTCGTAGATTAGAATATAATTTGCAGTACTGAATCTCTCCATCTGTAGAGCATTCCCTCTATCCATCAGTGACATGACGTAGGGCACACGCCCAGTGGTGAGAACAAATGAAGTCTCTCTTTGTGGCTTTTGTATTAATCCAGTGCCTTAGCATGGCTCCTGGAGTCCCTGGGTGGCTCAAATGGTCAAGTGCTCAGTGACTAACCGAAAGCCCTGGGGATCTACTTCTGACAACTCAGCCATTGAAAACCCAATGTAGCACAGTTCTATTCTGACACACGTGGAGGTACCATGAGTCGGAATCCACTTGAGGGTGACTGGACTGGACTGGCTACTACATAGATTTTTTTTTTTTAAAGTTGCCATAAAAAGACTGATTTTTTTCAGAAATAGATTGCCAGGACTTTCTTCCTAGGAGGAGCCCTGGCGGCACAGGGATTAAGCTCCAGGCTGCTAAACAAAATGTCAGCAGTTTGAACCTACCAGCTGCTCCACAAGATAGAGATGCGGCAGTCTGCTCCCGTAAAAATTACAGCCTTGGAAACCCTATGGGGCAGTTCTACCCTGTTCTGTAGGGTCACTATGAGTCGGAATCGACTCGACAGCAGTGGGTTTTCTTCCAAAGTGCCTTTGGGTTGACGCAAACCTCCAGCCTTTCTGTTAGCAGCTGAGGGAGTCAACCGTTTGTACCACCCAGGCACTCCACCATATAGGTAGGTGGGTCCATAGGTATTTTAAGCCATCAGTCTGTTCCCAGACTCCTCTCCCTGCCTTCCGATGAGATGAATTGAAATTGTGCATGGGGGAAAGGGGAAGAAGGAGAAGCTGAGTGCTTTGCTTGAGCCAGACCATAAACCAAAAAAGCCAGCCACCGTCAAGTGGACTCCAACTCGTGGTGACCCTGTGTGTGTCAGAGTAGCACCGTGCTCATAGTGTTCTCAACGACTGAGTTTTCAGAAGCCAATTGCCAGGGCTTTCTTCTGAGGTGCCTCTGGGTGGACTTGAACTTCCAACCTTCTGGTTAGCAGCCGAGCATATTACCACGTGCATCACCCTCTTGAGCCAGGACGCAGTCCTGTATATTCCGATAAGAACCCCAGAATTAGGCTGTCCGTGGGAAAATCACCAGTCTGGGCAGGAGGGAGCTTAAATTCCAGGGGGACTTAGCATATTGACACGAGGGAAAAGGGCACATATTTTTCCCGTTGGATTACTAATAATCACATTAATGCTAGATCCTTCCTGGATTTCGTTCAGTTGGGCTGACTTTAGGAATTAGAGGTTGATCCTGTTCCTTGATTCCTTGATGCTGAGAAAAACGGGTATGTTTAGTACTGACCCATCAGCCCAGCGGTGGGCTCTGCGGCAGCCTGCCAGGTGTGTGAAATTTGAAATATATCCAACAGCCAAATATTTAGTCTTTTCCCCCCTCTTTCAAAACCATAAGAGTTAAAATAGTTTAATAAGATTGTGAAGTTACTCCTGTGAGTTTTTGTTACTTTTTTTAAATTTTATTTTGTACAAGTGTTAGATAAGACAACATTTACCAACTCAACATTGTTCACGAGTGCAATGCAGTGAGATCGATTGCATGAATTGTGTTAAATGTTTGCCAGGGTGGACCGAGTTTCATCCAACAGATACCTGACAATCTAACAGTATTTTTTCGCTTAGTATTAAGTTTGCTTTGCAGATTGCAGCGCTTTGGATACGCCGAGTAGAGTTTGAGGAGCCCTTGGGGCACAGTGGTTAAAAGCTCGGCTGCTAACCAGAAGTTTGGCAGTTCAAATCCACCAGCCACTCCTTGGAAACTCCACGGGGCAGTTCTGTTCTATCCTGTAGGGTCGTTATGAGTCAGAATCCACTTGACGGCAATGAGTTTGGCTTGGTTAGTAGGGTTTGAAGGCAAAGGAGAGCATGCTTGGAGAGAAGCCTTGTTTCAGGTCGAAAAGTCTTCCCTTTTTAGAGAGATTGCCGTGCTGTTGTTGTTGTTAGATGCTGTCGAGTTGGTTCCGACTCACAGTGACCCACGTACAACAAAAGGAAACACTGCCCGGTCCTGCGCCATCCTCACAATAGTTATGCTTGAGCCCATTGTGGCAGCCACTGTGTCAATCCATCTTGTTGAGGGTCTTCCTCTTTTTCGCTGACCCACCACTTTACAAAGTATCATGTGCTTCTCCAGGGACTGGTCCCTCCTGATAACATGTCCCAAGTACATGAAAGGTAATTTCGCCACCCTTGCTTCTAAGGAGCGTTCTGGTCGTACTTCTCATTTTGTTGTGCCGACTCATGGTGACCTCATGTGCGTCAGAGGAGAACTGTGTTGGACTCTGATGGAGTGAATGACGTAGGTTTGCCCCAGGATGTGACAGCCTCTTGTGCCATTCTGGACAGAGCGAGGAGATAGACAGGAAAGCCAGCGTGCGAGCCTCGCGGAGGAGAGATTAGCAGAAGACACGCCTCGGGGTGAACTATGACCATCCTCTGTTGCTGAGATTGCTGGCAGTTTTCATTTTCTCTGTTCACCCAACACTTCTGAAATGGATGTCAGTCATGTTTATAAACAGAGTTTTTAAAAATACTCGAAAAGTGAGAGCATTTAAAGAAACCGAGAGGAACGGACTTGTGTCAAATGCACCTGGAATAATTTGGAATCGTCCTGGGGTTTCATCTCATTTCGTTAATCACTTCGCAAATGGAACGTTTATGTATTATCCAACGTTAGAAGGGAGGAAGCACGGACACGTTATTTAGCACCTACTTAATGTATAAGGACTGGAGATAGGACATCTTTTCTTTACTCAAGAGAGTTAACTCAGAAGAGTGACAGACACACTCGTATACCAGTGGCCGTCCAGTTGATTCCGACTGATGGCAACTCTCTGTGTTTCAGCGTGGAACTACACTCGGTAGGGTTTTCAACGGCTGTGACTTTTCAGAAGCAGATCACCAGGACTTTCTTCTGAGGCATCTCTGGGTGAGTTTGAACCACCAGCCTCTCAGCTAGTAGCCACCCAGGGACTCCTGTTGTTGTGTGCCCTCGAGTCAATTCCCACTCATAGCGACCCTGTAGGACAGAGGAGAACCACCCCATAGGGCTTCCAAGGCTGTAATTTTTTTAAAATTGTGCTTTAGATGAAGGTTTACAGAACAAACTAGCTTCTCATTAAACAGTTAATATACATATTGTTTTATGACATCAGTTAACAATCCCACGACATGTCAACACCCTCCCTTCTCAACCTTGGGTTCCCTATTAACAGCTTTCCTGTCCCCTCCTGCCATCTAGTCCTTGCCCCTGGGCTGGTGTGCCCCTTTAGTCTCGGTTTGTTTTATGGGGCTGTCTAATCTTTGGCTGAAGGGTGAACCTCAGGAGTGACTTCAGTACTGAGCTATAAGGGTGTCTGGGGGCCATACTCTGGGGGTTTCTCCAGTCTCTGTCAGACCAGTAAGTCTGGTCTTTTTTGTGAGTTAGAATTTTGTTCTACAATTTTCTTCAGCTCTGTCCGGGACCCTCTGTTGTGATCTCTGTCAGAGCAGTCAGTGGTGGTAGCTGGGCACCATCTAGTTGTACTGGACTCAGTCTGGTGGAGGCCGTGGTAGTTGTGGTCCATTAGTCCTTTGGACTAATCGTTCCCTTGTGTCTTGTTTTCTTCATTCTCCCCAAGGCTGTAATCTTTACGGAAACAGATCACCAGGTCTTTCTCCTGCGGAGCTGCTGGTGGGTTCGAACCTCTGACCTTTTGGTTCGCAGCTGAGTGCTTTACCACTGTGCCACCAGGGCTCCTTATCAGTGACTTCTGTGTGCTCATATATATGCACGTTAAACATTCAACCTCTGAGTCTGTCCACGTGCCAGGCTCCGTGCTAGGGGCTGAGATTTCCAGATCAAATCTGGGGGTCTGCTACCCTGGAGGGCTCATGATGGAGAGGAAAGACCTTTGAACTGATGACAATATGTAAGTGAGTGTCACAGTACAAGCAGGCACAGGGCACTCAGGGAGCCCAGAGGGGAGGCCCTGCACCCTGACGTGGGAGGGGCAGGTGGACTCCCGGGAGGAAGTGACACCTCAGTTGCTTCTTGGAGGACAAAGGGCAGTGGGCCAGGGAGAGCGGGCACTGGCGTGTCAGCACTGGAGTGTGTACACAGGCAGGGCCAGGGAAGGCAGGGCATTCTGGGAACTGCAGGGCATTCTGGGAACTGCAGGGCATTCTGGGAACTGCAGGGCATTCTGTATGGCTGGGACTGTGCTGGGGGCGGGCGGTGAGGAGGATGCTACCAAAAAAAAAAACAAAAAACCCAAAAAAACAAACGGTTGCCATCAAGTCCATTCCGACTCATAGCAAGTCTACACGTCAGAGTAGAACTGCCCCATGGGGTTTCCGAGGCTGTAATCGTTACGGGAGCAGACTGCCACATCTTTTTCCCTCCGTGCGGTTGGTGGGTTCAAACTGCCGACCTTTTGGTTAGCAGCCGGGTTAACCACTGTGCCACCGGAGCTCCTTACGCGCTGTGCTGGAGACTTTGAATTCCGTCCTGAAGCCGTGGGAAGCCACTGTAGGGTTTTCACGGAGGAGGGTGGCCAAGGCAGCTGTTCATCACAGCAGGATTGTGCCCCAGCCGGGCGGACTAAGGAGCTGGGGCAGCAGTAGTCTACGCCAGAAAGGAGGAAGTCTCAACTCAGATAGTCGCAGGGAAAATGCGGAGAAGGAGTCAGACTCAAAGGACAGTAAGGAGACTGATTGGGAAGAATCTGACTGACGGGCCGTGAGGATGGGCTGAGAAGGAGGAGTTGAGGATGGCTGCTTGATTTCAGGGTCCTGGCCATGTCAGTTCTTTCTGTGAGCCTCTCTCCCAGTTTTTGGTGTTGGCCGGATCCGCAATGTTCCTTGGCATCCGTCTTCCCCTATGTGTACGTCTCTGTGTCTCTTCTGCTCTTTTGATGACTCAGAAGCGATTGGGTTTAGGACCCACCCTACGCTGGTGCGACCTCATTAACATAAGAAAAGAGAAACTGTATTTCCAAACAGGATCCTATCCACAGGTACCAAACAAACAAAAAAAAAAACAAACCCAATGCCATCGCGTCGATTCCGACTCATAGCGACCCTGTAGGACAGAGTAGAACTGCCCCATGGGGTTTCCAAGGAGTGGCTGGTGGATTCAGATCGCCAACCTCTTGGTTAGCAGCCATACTCTTAATCACTGCACCACCAGGGCTCCATTCACAGGTACAGGGGCCAAGAATTCAACACATATTTTTGGGGGACGCAACAAAAAGCAAAGCTATCACTTTGAGGACTGAAGTGCACCTGACCGAAGCCGTGGTATTTTCATTTACCTTATGTGCGTGTGAAAACTAGACAATGAATAAAAAAGACCCAAGAAGAATTGATGGGTCTTTGAATTATAGTGTTGACAAAGAATATTGACTATACCACAGGCTGCCAGAAGAACGAACAAGTCTGTCTTGGAAGAAGTACAGCCAGAACGCTCCTTAGAAGTGAGGATGGTGAGACTTTGTCTCACGTACTTTGGATGTGGTGTCGGGAGGGACCAGTCCCTGGAGAACGACATCATGCTTGGTAAAGCAGAGGGTCAGCGAAAAAGAGGAAGACCCTCGATGAGATGGACTGACACAGTGGCTGCAACAATGGGCTCAAGCATAACAACAATTGTGAGGACGGTGCAGGACCGGGCAGTGTTTCGTTCTGTTGTACATGGGTTGCTATGAGTCAGAACTGACTCAATGGCACCTAACAACAACACTCTCAGAACCCAGTTGCAGGGAGTATCACATGGCTGGAAGGTTGTCAGGCAGAAAACATGTCTGTCTGGAAACACAAGGCCTTGTCTGAGCTTCTTCCTAACATCTTTTTGAACCAGAGAACTTCTGTTTCACCTCGCCTGTGGCCTGGGCTGGCCCTGACCTGACAGGCCCGAGGCGAACACCACTGGACCGGCTCAGTCCCTGGGGCTTCGAGAAAGCCCTTGGTAGGGATAATCTGATGGTTGAGCCTGGGTAACATGTCCCTCCCCAGCTCATTCGGTGGCTGGGATGGAAGTGGCCAGGGGGCACCACCGCGGCAGGCAGACAGATTCTCGGAGAACTCCCGTTATCTTCTGTAGTGAGTGAAGCTTGGAAACTTAGTCATTTTCGACTTTACCCCTGATTGCTCCAGACCCAGTAGCCCCCAGGTTCTGAGAAGGCCCTGCAGCAAACTCCGGGCAGGTGCCTTCCTGTCCCCCCTCCACCCCCAGTTCTGCCCTGATCTTCTAGATTCTTGTCACCATGGCCATCGCACGGCTTCTAGATTTGCTCTCCAACTCTAGTCTGCCTTTCCGTTTCATCTCGCCTACTCGTAAGCATTATTATTTTTAAAAATCTTATTGGACTCCTACTCAAAAGCCTTGGTAGATGTTCTCTGATTTATTATGTCTGTTCTGGCTCCCAAGGCTAGCCTGAGACTTGTTGTTAGCTGCCTTGAGTCGGCCCCTGGCTCGTGGTGACCCATGCACAATGGGGTTGGACTGTTGTCATCCATAAGATTTTCATTGGCTGATTTTCAGAAGTAGATCGCCAGGCCTTTCTTCCTAGTCTTAGTCTGGAAGCGCCACTGAAACCTGTTCAGCATCACAGCAACATGCAGGTCTCCAGTGACAGATGGGCGGGCTGAACCACTCTTAGATCCGTAGAGTCTTCTTCTCTTACCGGGCTTATCCTTCTCTGACCCTCCGCGTTCGTTCCCTCCACACTCCTGTGACCCCCACCCCCCCCAGCCAAACGTCACAGCCATCTTCTGAGACTGCTTACCTTGACCTCTGGCCTCGCCTGTCCTCTGGCCTCCTCATTTTAGCCTTACTTCTCCAGTGACACGTTGGTTCATGGAAAGCAGCTCCCTGCCCCGTATGTCTTAACTCTGTACCCAGCCAAGCACTTAGCAAGCACTTGGGAAATTCAACATTCAGTGGTTAATAGCTGATTTGTGATCTCTTTGTCTTGGCGATTTTATTGTTTTGCTTTTTAATCTTTTACGGCATGTTTTAGAGCATTCCCTATAAGCCCACTGACTGGATGATTGAATGCTTGTTAGAGGCCAAGCCGAGTAAAAGACATTAGCTCCTAATTCTGTGGAAGTCTTCCTGGGCTGCTTGTGTTCGGGCTTGGCTTTTACGTGCCTTGACAGCTTGACGGTCTTATTTTGCTGTGTCCACAGACACGTCCCGGAGTAGATGTTTGAGCCAATCAGTCCCCTGCCAGTTGGGTTGTATGTTGTAAGTGGTCGTTCGTTACCGTTTTCCCTTTATTTGGGCATTCGTGTTTGTGCCTGGTCTGAAACCACTTTTATTACTTGTTCATAATCGACATGATTAGCTTAGTACCACAGAAAGGCTTTTAAAAGTTTTGTGGTTGATGTCTTCGTTGCCTTGTGTTTCCGTAACACAGATTCCACAGGTTGCTGGCTATAAAGAACAGAAGTTTATTTTCTCACAGTTCTGGAGGCTAAAAGTCAAATCGGGGTCTCAGCTGTGTTGATTCCGTTCTTGTCGGTAGCCCCGGGCGGTCCTTGTTCCCTTGGCTTGTAGATGATCCTCACGTGGCCTCTGTTTTTCCCTGTGTGTGTGCTTGCTTCTCTGTGTCCACCCTGCTCTTTTTTAACTCAGAAATGAGTAGGTTTAGGACACACCCTTAACATAACACTCCTTAACATAACAAAGAAAACCCTGTTCCCAGATGGGGTCACATCCAAGGGTTAGGATTAGACAAACTGTTTTCTCTGCCTCAGTCTCCTCCTACCCTTAGCTGCACCCTCCCTCCCCTCCAGCCAATGAATTTCTGTTACACTCCGACTAGCACCCACTGTGTTCCTCCAGGTTTCCCTGCAGACATGGAGCCCCACACATGGATTCAGAGGATGCTCCTCGGAGCACACCCCCAGCTGGCTTGTACTGCGGGAGAGCTCTCTTGCTCTGGT